ACGGAACTGCTCTGTAGAGTATGCACCGTAACTGCTCAGTAGAGACAGCACGGACTGCTCTGTAGAGACACAGGTACTGCTCTGTAGAGACGCACGGACTCTTCAGTGGAGACATAACACGAGACTGCTCATGGAGACACACGGAATGCTCAGTAGAGACTAACGGACTGCCTCATTAGAGACAACGGACTGCCTGTAGAGACCACAGACGCTCATAGAGACACACGACTGCTCACTAGAGACACACGACTGCTCACGTAGAGAACACGGACTGCTCCATCAACTAAGGACACCGGACTGCTCAATAGAGACACAGCACACGACTGCTCACTCAGAGACACCAACGGACTGCTCACAATGAACACAACATGACGCTCACTAGAGACACACGGACTGCTCACTAGAGACACACCGGACTGCCACTAGAGAAACACGGACTGCTCGGTAAGACACAAGGTCACGGACTGCTCACTAGATACACAACGGACTGCTCACTAAGGACCACACGGACTGCTTCGTAGAGATCCACACGACTGCTCACTAGACACACGGACCTGGAAGCGCACTAGAGGGCACACGGACTGCTCACTAGAGCACAAAAACTGACGTGCTCACTATGAGACTCAGACTGCGCGGCAAAGTCCGAAGGGAGGAGCAGGAGCGAAAATGTATGCAGCGCAGAGATAACTATTGCTGACGTTTCCTCGGAACGTACGTGCAGCAACCAATCCGCAGAGAGAGAGAGAGCCGCAAAGTGCACATGGGACATAGCGACTGACAAACAGACTGAACAAACTGTCAGAAACGGCTAGAACAAGGAGCCACACCGAAGGACTAAAAACCGGGTGACAATGGGGGACATAGTGCTTGATGAACAATATGCGTTTTCATGCTCCATGACTTTGCGCAACTGCTATTGAGTGTGTGCCGATGCGAAACTGAAAATGAGACATTTAACTACTCATAGTAAGATATTCACATGTCTTAAAGGGACACGCTCAAAGTGCAAGCCTAAAGTTTATGACACGCTAAATGATGCGCCAAGTGTTTAACCCTAATAGCCCCAGTGCACGGCGCTGATGCACGCGCCATGTTTTAAAATGATCAATTTACTCGTGAACGGTAAAACGTAGCAACATACTTTTTTTCCCTCTGTGAAGTTCGTATTCAGAGGGCTTTCCCGAAACTAGTTTTGATTTGTCCTGTTCGATGCTCGGAGGGATAAACTCAAACGTTGTCTGAAGTCGGTGTCCAAAAGCGTACCACGTGAGGACAAACAGCTGTGAGAATAACAAACACACGGGGACTGCCAAAGATCGTCAGAGAGTGAGAATGTCTCACTCCTCAGGTCAGTACTTGTTGTCCCACAGTTGAAACTACAGCTGCGATTGCAATTAAACCGCTGAAGATGGTGCGCATTATTGATAAAGACTATAATAAATTACAGTAAAATGGACATTATTGTATATGATGTATATAAATATATGCATTATATAAATATTGATGTTTTGTTTTTTTTTTGCTCATTTCTATGTTTTTACGTATTTTACGCCTGTGCTACAGAAGCAAACCCCACATTATAGACAAACTGCTTCAGGAAGGGCATCAGGAGTAGAGTTTTTTGCTTTTATATGAATTTTGGTAAAAAAGTATAATAGTTTAGAGATGCAATTGTTTTCCCCAATTATCCCCAAGACCATAAATAACATTTCTATCAGTGTAAAAAGTGTTTTATTAGCATTTCAGTTGTGTTTTTTCAATCTCTTTTTGTAAATTGATTTCCGTTTGTTTTTTGTTCCTTTGCTCATGTTTCCACAATTTTATATAAGTCATATGACAGCCTTACAATTATGAATATTCTAAAACCCCAGGTTTGTACTGAAAAAAACAAAGTATACTGCTTGACCTCTGCATCAAAAATGACTGTTTTATGAACAATTAATAGCACAAAGAAAAACCAGGCGAGGAAAGTTCCCCAAAATTACCCACTGCATAGAGGTTAAAGTAATATAGGTCCTTACAAACCATAGTTTTCTAAACATCAATGCATCCAAAATTTAAGCAAGCAGAACCTAACCTTTGCCAGGCTGCTGACTCTTCTCTTTCAGTTCTGCTCTGTTAGGAGAACACAGATAGTAGGCACAATGCTTTGCAAGACCATGTGTTTTTAAAAACCGAGGAGTACTAAGGTTTTTATCTAAAATGCGCGATTTTTATTCTTAGTTTTAAAATGCTAAACTTAAAAGTGATAAATATTGATGAATTCTGTAAATTATAACAAGTAATGATGGCCCAAAACTTATGTAGGGAGAGTAAAAGTACCCTCTGCTCTCTCTATCGCGTCCAACGTTACTGCCCGAGCCACCGTGTATATGACACGATTAGCGGAGGCCTGGACGTCAGGGCACTGACTTCTAAACAACCATCCCCATCCATCTTCTCCCCTTAATCCATTTCGGGGTCGGGGGGGGTGGCAGTCAGACTACACCCATTTCACAGAGCACCAGCCCCTCCCTGATCCTCCCGGCAGGTAGTGAGTCCATAGAGCCTGATTTTTGTGTGGGGGCTTTAGGCAAAGTGGGGTTATGTGTCTTGCCCAAGGACAAAATGACACAACTCACCATTGGGAGTCGTGAAGTAGGTCTCGTGTTGGGCTCGAACCCACAAGCTTCAGCCTTAAAGGACCAATGCTCTACTAGTGAGCCACTGTCCCCAGTCCTAAACTCCTAGTCTTGTTCTCCGCAAATCTGAACCTTTCTTCAAACTTCCAATGGAACCAGCCCTGACCCTGAGAAACACTGTTCCAACTGACACTGAGCGTCTGAAGTGTTTTTTAAAGTGTCTAAAGTTTTGTGTTTGTTACAGTACAACACTGGCAACGACTGCTGCATGCTTGCACTGGCTTCGCTATGATTTCGGCACTGGTTCAACACGGTTCTTGCTCAATATTTTGTATATGAGCTGGGCCCATTTTAATTAGTACTGCATCTTGTGACAAGAGGTTAAAGGCGACTATACCCGTAGCTTGTTTACTGCAATGTGTGAAGTGTTTTAAGCACCTCGCCCCCCAACTCGCTCACAGAGTTCTCATTCCCCTACCTCTCGATAACACAGAGCCATCTAGTTTTATTTGCGATCTACATGTATGCTAACATTAGCATTACGCAACTCTGTAAGCAGTGCAACAATCACTGATGAAAATGGTACTAAAGAAATGCACTGCTACAGCAATATAAAGTATAAGAATACCATTAGTATCGCGTCCGGTATTTAATTAATTTAAAACATTAGAATATATTCTAATAGTTAATTTATCATTTATTATACACTCCTTCACAGCAGCAGCACTCATTGACTTGAATGCTTTTTTTCTTGATAACAGAACTCGTTCAAACCAATAAGACCGCAGCCCCAACGCAATCTCTGTGTAATTCAGGTTAAAATACGCCATTTACCTGCATAGTACAGACAAGCTATCAGCCCTGTCACTACATTGTGCAGTTTTCTCACACTTGGTCTGTGAGAGAAGCTAGCTTGAGCTTAGCCACGCTCATAAACAAATACATATCAACAATTCAACACCATGTAAACTCAATTCGTACAATACATATCACATATACATCCGTAGACAGACACATGCACGGACGATTTTCAGTAAATTGCTGTCAACTTTCATAACAAAAATACTGTTTTAAAAGTGAACAAAAAGAAGCGATCGCGAAAAACCCGGAAGTTAACGATGAAACACCAGCTAGCTTAGCGTTACCTGCCTAGCACGTCCCGGTGAAACCTTTGGGAGCTTAACTATTTTATTTGCAGTCATTAAATTACATTTCTAATTATAAGGGTTTGTCTAATATTTGTTCAAATGAGGCTGTAGAGACTAGAGGACACAGGCTGTAGAGACTAGAGGACACAGGCTGTAGAGACTAGAGGACGCAGGCTGTAGAGACTAGAGGACACAGGCTGTAGAGACTAGAGGACGCAGGCTGTAGAGCATACGTGGCCAACCAGAGGCTCGCGAGCCTCATGCGGCTCTTTGGCTGATTTCATGCGGCTCTTGAGGGGCTCACATGACAGGCGTCAAAAATGCTCGGCGCTGGCGCTGATCATTCATTCCCTATATGGCAACCTGACCAGGAAGCCGGTTTGAGTGACGTCAAACGCGCATTTGCGTGAGATGAACATATATCTTACGAATAATTTTGTGTGCTCTCAAAATGGCAGGGAAAAAAAGCACCGCAAAACGAACGTATGTAGATGAACACCGGACATTTTTAACAGAGTGGGAGAGTTCATATTTTTTTATCGAACGTAATGACAAGCCATTCTGCCTGATATGTCAGGCGTCGTTAGCGCATTTTAAAGCATCTAATCTTCAACGGCACTTCAGCTCACTCCACGCAAACTTCGAACAGGAATATCCAAAAGGGACTGAACTTCGCAAAAGCAAGTTGGTAACGTTGAAAAGTCAGGCAGAAAAGCAGACACAGTTTTTCAAAAAATTTACGAAGCACTCTGAGACCGTAACGCTGGCGTCTTACCAACTGGCTTTGAACATTGCACAGGCTAAAAAGCCATACAATGAAGGGGAGTTTGTCAAAAAATGCCTCAGCGACGCTGTTGAAATATTGTCTCCTGAAAATGACAAATTAAAACTAATGATATCAGACGTTCAACTGTCCCGCCACACTGTTGAACGCAGAATATCGGACATTAACGCGGCTATTGAAACACAGTTGTACTCTGACCTTCAAGAATGTGCGTATTTTAGTGTTGCATTGGATGAGAGTTGTGACATACAAGACAAGCCTCAGTTGGCAATATTTGCACGGTCTGTGTCAAACGATTGTGTGATCAAAGAAGAACTCCTTGATATTGTGCCATTAAAAGACAGAACCCGTGGCATAGATGTGAAAGAAACAATGATGGCTGCATTCGCGAAAGCACATCTGCCCATACCAAAACTAACTGCAATAGCTACGGATGGAGCGCCAGCCATGATCGGATCTGTGAACGGGCTTGTGGGCCTGTGCAAAGCTGACCAAACATTTCCCACATTTTGGAATTTCCACTGCATCATCCACAGGGAGCAACTCGTGTCTAAATCACTGAATTTAGACAACGTCATGAAGCCAGTGATGGAAATGGTCAACTACATCCGCACGCATGCGCTTAATCACAGGCAATTCAGGAATCTCATCGCTGAGCTGGACCAAGGGCTTCCCGGTGACCTGCCGCTGCACTGCACTGTGAGGTGGCTGTCAAAAGGCAAAGTACTCTCTCGCTTTTTTGAGCTTTTGGATGCCGTGAAAATGTTCATGGAAGAGAAGAACAAGGACTATCCCGAACTCTCGGACCTCGAATGGATTATGGATCTGGGCTTTTTGGTCGACATGCTGTGTCACTTGGACAGACTGAACCTAACCCTGCAGGGTAAGTTAAAAATGCTACCTGACCTGGTGCAAAGTGTGTTTGCGTTTGTCAACAAACTGAAGCTGTTCAAGGCTCATATTCAAAAGGGAGATTTAACACATTTTCCCACGCTGTTAAAAGCCAGCGGACAAGTCACCAGCGCCGCCCTGAATAAGCAAAGAGCCAGATATGCAGCACTGGTTGAAAACCTGCACGAAAGCTTTGTGTGTCCCGGTTCCGTGATCTACAAATGAAAAGGCCACAGATTACGTTCCTCGTCGACCCATTTAATGCGGAGACGGACTGTTTGAAAGCCCCGCTAGTCACAGATGAGGCTGCGGCTGAGTTGGAAATGATTGATCTTTGTGAGGAGGACCAACTGAAAGCTGCTTTAAGGGAAGGGACCATTGAGTTCTGGAAAAGTGTGCCAATGGAAAAATACCCCAATGTCAAACAGGCTGCACTCAAGGTACTGTCAATGTTTGGGTCAACATACGTCTGCGAGTCTTTGTTTTCTACCCTGAAACATGTGAAATCAAAGCATCGATCTGTTCTGACTGACACCCATGTGAAAGAATTGCTTCGAGTGGCAACAACGGAGTATAAGCCAGATTTGAAGAGGATTGTTCAAGACAAGGAGTGCCAGAAGTCCCACTAAGCAACATACAAAGTAAGAGAAAAAAACACTATTGTAAATTACATCTTTGTTTTGGACTTGGTTAAACTGAGAGTTTGTGTGTGTGTGTGACAGTGCACACAATGTTCATTGTTGAAAATGACTGGCCTGTATTCTTGAAGGAGTCAATATCTGTCATTATGTTTGTGTGTGACATTTACAATAAATCTGGCTTAGCAGAGATCTCTGTGTGTGTGTGTGTGTGTGTGTGTGTGTGTGTGTGTGCGTGTGCGTGCGTGCGCGTGTAAGGGATGGGGTTGTGATTGTGTGTGCCCATGTGTATGATGTGGCTCATTGCAGAATCACAGTTAAAAATGTGGCTCTTTGTCTCTGACTGGTTGGCCACCCCTGCTGTAGAGACTAGAGGACACAGGCTGTAGAGACTAGAGGACACAGGCTGTAGAGGCTAGAGGACACAGACTGTAGAGACTAGAGGACACAGGCTGTAGAGACTAGAGGACACAGGCTGTAGAGACTAGAGGACACAGGCTGTAGAGGCTAGAGGACACAGGCTGTAGAGGCTAGAGGACACAGGCTGTAGAGACTAGAGGACACAGGCTGTAGAGGCTAGAGGACACAGACTGTAGAGACTAGAGGACACAGACTGTAGAGACTAGAGGACACAGACTGTAGAGACTAGAGGACACAGGCTGTTCACTGCTCGTTCTGTGAGCGGAGGAGAGCGTCCCGCTCAGACTCTACTCAGCACTTTTCACTGCCTGAATTTCATACACAGTGGAATCAATGACCTCAAGTTTTCAATTAAATTATGTATTATGATACAACTTGTATGTAGTAAAAAGCATTTTTATGAACTACTTAGAAAAAAAATCGGGTATAGCTTCTTTAAGTAAGGTATTACCTCTGGATAAGTCTGCAGAGAGAACATCAGGGTCCAAGTCACTGTGTGGTCACCGAACTCTGCAACATGTTGTCCAGCAATGATGCTTATACCACTGAGCTGTGTCTAAACAAGAGGAACAGAAAAATACACATCATCTTCACCAGCCACACCCAAATTGAGGTCTGGGGCCTATTGGGGCCCTCTCTGTCTTGATATGTAACAATATACACATTTTCAACGTCATCTAGCCAACATCAGCTCTGCCAACATAGGTTATAAATCATTGTAATGCTCAGGATCTCTGTAATCATGTTGTTTCTGTGATGAAGAGATGGCTATAATCTCACAAGTCAAATCATTATCACACATGTGCATAGGATGGACTGTGAAATATGAAGAAAAGCGTAATATGGAACTTTTAAAACTATGCCTTTGGACTGTGATGATGCTTTGACCTACTTAAGATAATATAAGAATTCCTTTATTTGTCCCTCAGTGGGGACGAATACTTCTTTTATTAGCTATTGTAAAACAATGGGACTTATTTCTTTAACAAACAGCCATAAATAAGCTAACCTCAAAAGAGGACTCCCTGATGTCCCGCTGCAGGACTCGACTCTCTGGTTCCTCTCATAGTTTTTCAAACAGTAAATTACTTCTGTCCTCTTAACATTCACAAAACATTTCCCTAGTCATCAAGTTTGAAGCAGTGTTTTGAAGCTCAAATCAAAACTCTCAAGTTAAATCAGTCCTGGTTTAGACAGTGTTGTTGTAACACTGCAGTTCACCTGCATGGCTGTGTACTTACTCACTTACTTACTTACTTACTTACTTGTGGGAGAAATATCCATCAATTTTCTTCCCCAGTCAGAGCTGCACCCAGAGCACCAGCCCCTCACTGATCCTCCTGCAGGTGGAGAGTCCATAGGAGCACATTATGAATGATTAAATTATATTAATTCTAATAGACTATTATAGACCTAATACATGCAGGTTATATAATATACCCTATAGTAATAACATACTATCGCCAAAACAGCCCCTTACCGGGGAACACATCTCTTTTAAGCTTTAAGGAACACAGTAGGCCTATTATTTTATTTCTATTAAGAATACAGATGTATATAATTTAATGAAACTAAAACATTTTAATTAACAAGCATTTCCATGCAAATGGAAGGACTAGTGATTATTATACTATTGTTATTTCATCATCAAGTCACTCACATCCCAGTGGAAGCAGATGTTGGAGGTTATGGACTATGTGGACTAAATGGGACATTTATAATTTTATGGCATAAGGATTATGCTATGCCCTTTGCCATTAATGGATAATCAAAGCCTATTTGTATGATTTCTGCAAAAAGTGCATCATAATAAATACCTCAAATGTCTTATCTCTATTGTTCTTATAATTGTAGTCTTCTAACTGGCCTTATAAAAGCAATAGGCATTATGTAGTATGCATAAACTGGGCGTTAGCCACTTAGCTCCGCAGCTAATCTAGGATACTTTGTGCTAAACAACCTGTGGCCAGCTGTAACTCTTCCCAGTATTGACTCACCACGGCCCTGTCTCTTCTGTGGACAATATAGTTGCTGTAGATTTTCTGAACAAGTGGCTGCAGCACACATTCGCGTTAGCTTTAGCTCTGCTGCTAAACTAGGCTGCTTTGTGCTATGTGGTGACAGTGAAAACTCTCTCCTACCTCCGTGCGGGTGTCTCTCCATGTCCTGTGTCCCTCTGCGCGGCTGCTCCTCTCCTGTCTCCTTTGTGGATGTATAATTACTGCAGAAATGCATAAACTTCCCCTTGACAGAAAAGACGCTCTGTTGTCCTTCCCCACGGAGCATGCGCAGTGCTGACTTTGTGTGTGGTTGTGTATATTTTCCCGCGGTTGTGTATAATTCCCCTTTTTCCCGCGCGGGAGAAACCCACCACTAGGGGCAGTGGCGGACACACAAATTTACCACTTTTCTCAAGTTTCTGGATTAAAAAGACTTTTGAGAAAACCACTTTTTAGGCATTAAAAAATGCATAGAAAACGATTTAGAATGTAATTTTTATGAGGACAGCAAATTGTCCTCCTAAACCGGAGGGTCCTCCTTACTCGGAGAAAAGTCTTGAAAATCGGCCTTGTAAACCAGAAAACAAACACACACACACACACACACACACACACCCGTTTGAGACGTTGTAAGGACATTTTTTCTCAAATCCCTTTAAACCAGACTGTACATAGGTATACGGGGACACTGGGTTCCCGTGGTGCTAGAGCCTCAAAAATCATATCAATGATCATGAAAAAAATCACAGAACCTATACACGGCTTAAAATTTAAAGATTTCCTTTGCTGCACTGAGATATAAAAAATGACTGTTTTCAAGACTTTTCAGGGGTTTGTAAAGACTTTTCAAAAACACGGTCTATAAGGACAGTGTGGTTTACAAGGTCAGTGATGTCATCATACACACACACACTATGTATAACATAGCTCTAACATGTAGCATATAACATGTCTCTATCCTGCACTTAAATAGATGATACATCTATAATCACTCCATTCTAAAAGAAAATGAGATCAAGCAACAAAAGGTTTACAGACATAACTGCCTCTTACCAACAGAGACGTGTCAATCACACACAAACTATATATGTATCCACCAGAACTCAACTGCCAATCTGCAAGCATGCATCACATCTAGGGGTGGGCGATATGGACAAAAATAAATATCTTGATACTTTATACCCAACTCCCGATAACGGCATTGTCACGATATCTTTAAAATCAAAAATGGTTACACAAAATGATCTGCAATGTTTTGCTTGCCATGGCATCTATAGATAAGAGACAGTGTATATCAAAAATGAAGCTTTTTATTTTCTGAAGTGCTACACACATCTTTGCAAAACATGCACTAACATATATTAACATTAAAAATCAGAAAGGCTCAATATTTACTGAAATGTACAAATAAAGCAGTGATTGGCTTTTTAGGCACACATTAGACCAATGGGCATCTTTCCTTCTCTAATTGTAATATGTATTGGAAAATAAAAAAGATAATACAATAAAGCATATCTTCAAATTGGCTTTCACGAAATTATTGTCTACGATATATTTTGCCCACTCCTAATCACTTCCCCACCAGGTGTGTCACTGGTCTAAGGCGTGTCCAGGTGTGTCACTGGTCTAAGGTGTGTCCAGGTGTGACACTGGTCTAAGGTGTGTCACTGGTCCATGGCGTGTCACTGGTCCATGACGTGTCACTGGTCCATGACGTGTCCAGGCGTGTCACTGGTCCATGGCGTGTTTACGGCGTGTCACTGGTCCATGAAGTGTCCATGGCGTGTCACTGGTCCATGGCGTGTCACTGGTCCATGCTGTGTCACTGGTCCATGGCGTGTCACTGGTCCATGACGTGTCACTGGTCCATGACGTGTCCAGGCGTGTCACTGGTCCATGGCGTGTCCGGGCGTGTCATTGGTCCGTGGCGTGTCCAGGCGTGTCACTGGTCCATGACGTGTCACTGGTCCATGGCGTGTCACTGGTCCATGGCGTGTCCAGGCTGCTCACACCCAGACATGCCATGGACCAGTAACACGCCGTGGACACGTCACGGAGCAGTGACACGCCTGGACACGCCATGGACACGTCATGGACCAGTGACACGCCTGGACATGCCATGGACCAGTGACACGCCCAGACACGTCATGGACCAGTGACACGCCCG